TATGGAGGATTCATATTCCTATCCTATGCATTATTGTATCAAACTCTTTTTATAGCAATGTAGGCTTGTTTGTTTTGGAGTGTGCTTTTTATTTTAAATTTTTTTTTAAAACTTGAGCCGGCCTTTTTACATGAAGGCTGTTGCAGGTTCTTTTTTGGGTTAGGCCTATGGGTAGGGTTTGGTTTAGGGTTAGGAACCTGAGTAGATTGCTCAAGACTCATTTGTTCAATTGTTAGTTATAGTGTGTTAGTAAGCTCTGATTTTGTAATATACACGTACATATTATATATATATATATATATATATATATATATATATATATATATATATATATATATATATATATATATATATATATATATATATACATGTATATATATTTATACTTTTTTTTGTTCACTGTCCTTTCGTGTATAGTTAATGTGTGGTTGTGAAAGTTCTTCTTCATGTGGTTAGACTGGTTTTTCTTGCTTCAGTGTAATTTTTTTTTCTTGTGTAAATGATTATGTGATTAGTGTAAACCTAGAGCTTATTCTACATGTAGTATGGGATAGAGCGCTATATAAATGCAATCTTATTTATTATTATTATTATTATTATTGTTGTTGTTGTTGTTATTATTATTGTTATTGTTGTTTTGTTGTTGTTGTTTTTGTAGAATGCGCTTTCAAGCTTTGTTGTGTTGGAGGAGACTCTGCAGTTCTTTAGCTTTTTTCGGTAAAGTGGCTGGATGTGCATGTCAATGACAGTTTTCACTGATGGATGGTCTCTCCAGCAGTTGGCCCATCTCTTGACTCTGGTCTGGTAGACATCCTTTCTGTCTCTCTGGCGTACAATGACGTAATCGATCATGTGCCAATGATTCGATCAGGGGTTCATCCAAGTAGCCGTGAACTTTTCAGCCTTTCTGAAAAGGGTGTTTGTGATGCCCAGACCATGTTCCACGCACATACTGAGGAGGAGGAGACCATTTTTGTTGACTCTTCCCACTCCATGAGGCCCTAGAACGCTCTCCCAGCTGCTGTTATCTTTTCCTACGCGGGCATTGAAGTCACCTAGCAGGACAATCTTGTCGTTCTTTTGAGTGGATTGAATGATCTCAGTTAGCTGTTGGTAAAATTGTTCCTTTCCGTCATCCGAGCCTGAGAGTGTGGGGGCGTAAGCTCTGATGATTGTGGCATGTCTGGACTTGCTGAGGGGGACGCGGGGCTTCATTAAGCGCTTGTTGATTCCGACTGGTAGAGCAGGAAGGCTCTTCAAGAGAGCTGATCTGATGGCTAAGCCAACTCCGTGAATTCGTTCCTTTGTCTGTGGTTTTCCTTTCCAAAAATAGGTATAGCCACCACCTTCTTTCTTTAGTGAGCCCTCATCTGGAAGACGCGTCTCACTAAGTGCAGCGATGTCAATGTTGTAGTGTTGGAGTTCTCTCGCCATGAGGGCGGTTCTTCCTTCAGGTCTGTTGGTTTTATCTCTGTCGAGGAGAGTTCTGGCATTCCAGGATCCAAGGATTATCTTTCTTTTTCTTTTTTGTTGTTTTCGACCGCAAAACGGGTGAGTCTGTCTTGATTGGCAGGCATATGTTTTGGTCACCTTTTCTAAACCCCTCCCTCCCTGAGGGTGGGCAGTGCAGTCCTTGAGAGGCTGCCCTGTCGCCGCTGAGTGCTGCCGAGAGATCATGCCGCCACTGTCAGGAGTCAGACGACCACTTGGTCGATGGCTGCCTGCGTGCAGGTTTGTGACTATAACTATAACTGCCAGGGCTCACTGCTCCTGTTATTTTCGCCAATTGCCTATTGCCGCAGGGCTTTGGAGTGATTGTGCGGATGATGAAGATGGTGATGAGCAGTAGAATGAACCTACTTTGCTTAAAGTGGAGCTGTCGTTACACGGTGGCAGTCCCACTCTTTCGGCCTTGGAAGCCTTTACCCAGTGGCACGGAGACTGTTACGCATTGAGACTGCCAGGCTGCAGTGGATGGCCAGAACTTCTTTTGTGCCTTGTCCACGCCCTTATGCGCTCCACAGCACTTACTGGTACCGCCTTCAAAACCGTTGGATCTTCTGTTCTCTTTCTCCCCCCCCCCCTCTCTCTCTCTCTATCTCTCTCTCTCTCTCTCTCTCTCTCTCTCTCTCTCTCTCTCTCTCTCTCTATATATATATATATATATATATATATATATATACATATACATATGTAGTATACACACACACACACACACACACACACGCACACACGCATGCACGCACGCACGCACGCACGCACGCACGCACGCACGCACGCACGCACGCACGCATGCACGCACACACACACACACGTTCGCACACACGCATGCTCGTACAAGTACGTACGCTCACACACACACACACGCACGCACGCGCGCACACACACACACACACACACACTCTCTCTCTCTCTCACACACACACACACACACACACACACACACACACCTCGCCTTCTCGCCTACAAAACGGACACGCGCAGCGTTCTTGGGTTTTCATCTTATGTCATAATTATCTGGACCTCCGATGTTTAAGTACCCAGCATTCAGATACGACATGGGAACTTTACTCCTCCAGAAAGTGAACGACAAATTACATTGTGTTTTTGTGATGCTAACTACTAGACAGGCCACGAGTTCTATTTCAAATTTCAGCTATTGTTACCATAGTAGAACCGCCAGAGGCAGTCGTCACGATCTCATAACTCGTGTCGAAAGGGTCTCACAAAGGCTGTGTTTCAAATTAACTCGGTTTAAATTGTCACGAATCTTCTCGTCTTTCTTCCCAATATTGTGCCCAGGATGCCTGACCCCACATGTAATTGTCATCGTTATTGTAAGTGACCAATTTGGAATCGGGCTGTTTCAATTCTGCCTGTCAGGACCAACTTGAACTGAGTGGGGTACACCATCCCAGCGGGTAGGCGGGGATATTTGAAAAACAACAACCCTACAACAAATAAACAAGCAAACAAACAACCCCCCCCCCCACACACACACACAACAAAACAGACTCCCGATCGCGGGAATCAAACTTACGTCTTTTGCCGGAGGTGACGAAGACTGTAACTGTTATACGGGGTGCCCACTACGGCTGGATCGGGCTGATCGCCTGAAAATGAAAAACTAGTTTGTTTGTTTTTGAGGAGACCGAGTCGGGCGATCGACCCGATCCCATCCGTCGTGGGCACCCCTTATTACACTACAGACGCCAGTTAGCCACTGCACTCGATTCAATGTCATGTGTTGGGGAACATAAAGTCCTTTTTCTGAGCGCTGATCAGATAAAAATCAACGTAGGCTGCGCTTGATTTGAGCGCTCCGTACATACCTCGTTATTGACATAATTCTGATACGTGTTGCCTCCTGCTCGCCACGCTGAGATGGAAGTAGGATTCAGAGTAAGATGATCAGTAATAATGTGGCTAAACTTAGCATGCTCTCTCTTTAAAAGCTGAAGCTGCCTCATTCTTCTAGACTGATATTCTTGATTCATCTTCATGTGTGGTTTACCTCTTTATGTGTTGCCATTCGCAGCTACATGTATAGACGTTGGGCGGGGGTGGGAGCGTGTCACATTAACATCAATAGCAACCTGTAATTCATTTCTCCACAACGACTAGGGACAACAAAAGTGGATTGTCGTGATCATCACTATGGTCTAGAACGCTTTCTAACTAACGATATTAATACTTGGTATCCTTCAACGAAACAGTATCCGTACGCGGGTGGTTTGGGGGCGCCACTGTACCTCTTAACTTTCCCTCTACTGTATTCTGCTTCTGTCTGTCTCTCTTACTTTTCCCCAGTATTAAATGGCCAGTAATATTATTGTGTGGATATGCTTCTCCATGCTCAAACAAGCAGACGAAATAGTGAAGGCATTTAGGGAAAAAAGAATCAATTGCTCAAATCAAGTGGGTCCGTTACATGTAAAAGCACTTGAAATTAAAACCAGTCATCAGTTTTGTCAACACTGCTCGAACCAGGCGAGCTTATATCGGACATGCCTAGTTATAATTTTAAAAAGAATTAATATAATAACAGTATAATACTGTAATTGTGTTTGAAATTCTCTGTCTCTGGTACTTTGAGGAAGTCGGAGAAAGTATGGTCGGTTGTTGGGGCAGCTGGCCTTGGACTTGGTGACGTTGGATTGTTG